ATATATATATATATATATATATATATATATATATATATATATATATATATATATATATATATATATATATTCTGAAGTCGGCTATTTTTGCAATATTTCCTTCAATAGGAACAACGTATTCAAAGACGCAGTTTCGTAAACTGCAACGTACTATTTTGTTTAAATTACATTAAATTACGTATCTAGAGAGCGTCTTGAAACCAAAATTCAGGTGATCTTTAAAATAAAATTCAACGGTGATCTTTAAAATAAGAATTAACGGTGAGATTCAACAGCCTACGTCTAAAATATGACTTTTAATTGCCAGTAAAGAGTGAACAAATGTATTTTACCGCAACACGGAGAGAAAAATGTATGAATTAGAAAATTCGCGTTAGAAAGTATCATATTTACACAATCCTCTATCTACGGTAAATACAATTAGTAATTGTACTGGTACTTGGCGACTTAAACATTACAATTAATGGAGTTTTGTTGTGATATCAAACATGTTCACGATGAAGAATTATAAAAATTTTTATTTATTCATATTTATAAGATGTCATATACTATTTTACATATCTTGTCTTATTCCATTACTTCCAATCTATTACTTCGCAGTTGCTATATGTATGGCAATATCATTGGAACCTGCAATCGAATAAGAAATATATGAACGTGATAGATGAATATATGAATTGTCAATTTTGCTAGACTAGGTTCTTCTAATATATCGAATATATATTGGAAGTGAGATTAATAAATCGTAAACTGATAATTATTTGCACGCCTTTGTCGTTACATATTGTCACACATTCCACGTGAATCTTTTTTGTTGCTTTCATAGACAATTTACGTTATTTCGAGAAGAAAAATAGAGTTTATTAAATATAATTTTTATAATATTCAGAGTAAACTTGTTCATATAAAATAATACAAAATAAATTAAATAATTTCATATTGCCGATATTTGGTGAAATGATAAAATAGAATTAGCTTCTTCGCGTTAAGATTTATATATTCTATTCATGTATAAATACTTTTAGTCTTAATAGCTTTGTATATGATGCTGCATTACTTAATTCAATCAGTTGCAGTTTCTTATGCTATTTATATTAATTAGAATTAATAAATAGTTGACTAAGTTGACGATTATACCTGTATTTTACACCACATGCATGTATTATTGTTATATTTGCTCACGACATATTCCTTGTGGATTTTTCCGATAATTTGGGGGACAAGTAATGGTTTTTTGAAGAACACCTACGACAGTAGGAACCGGAACCGGCAAATAATTACGATTTATAACAGGAACTGACGGCGTAGGCAATAAAGGTTGTGATATTCCAATTGGTATTGCTATGATTGTCAGCATCATAATCAAGCAAATGTTAAAGAATATTTTCATTGTACTCTGTGAGAAAATCTGAATATCTTCCACAACCTAAAAATTAAGAAACACTTGATGTATGATTTTTCTATTTTTCCAGTTTTCGAGATTCTTGTGATTTTCGTTTTTCGATTCTTTTAATTTTGGTAAGTTTTCCATAAATATTTCTACTCCACAATTTTCATACTTTTTAGTTTTTCCAATATTTACATTTTTTTTTATTTTTATGAACATATCTAAATATTTTAACACAATTCTATATTTTTTCCATGCCCTTGTTTAATATGTATATTAGAGTTTTTTTAGCATTTATACGGACTTACCGCAGTTTCCTATATTTTTCTTGAATATGAGATCTTTTCCAATATTTTTAATTCTTTTGGAGGAATGGATGTGGATTGACCGTTCTCTCTCCTGCGTTTCGTATTTATATTCTACAATAATCTCATCAATATTCCTTTCTATTGCGTGAAGTTTATTATCATCATGTGATGATATAATATTATGTGCGTGTTGCAGAAACCCGTTTGTGTAATATTCTTTCCATAAGACTTTGCTGTTGCTTTACGCAACACATTCCATGCGGATCTTTTCATTAACCTTGTGGAGAATTTACCGGTTATATAAAAGAAATGTTTATGAAGTATCTTTTACTTCCGATAGGAGGTCTCTTAAATCTTCTTGTGTGAATATATGTTCCATGTCCAGATGTATCATATAAAACTTATCTTCTGTCTATCAGGTGTGATTTGTATGTTCCAAGTGTATTGTAATTATAAAATAAGTGTTTATTGATTGTTAGATAATAATTATTGGTTATCGCGTTCGATTTTTTTTTATATATTTGATGTCTAGCTGAAGAAATGAGATTTTATTTCGATATAAAAACAAGTTTGAAAAATACTTCTAAGAAAATTAATATTTTTCAATTATATTATATTTATAAGCATATATATTATTTTATATTTCTTGTCTCATTCCATTGCTTCTGCTCTATCATTTGGCAAGTCATGTTTTATGAAAATATCCAGTATTGTTGGAACTTGCAACTAAACAGAAAATGTACAAATGTGATAAATGAATATATAAATTGCTAATTTTGATAGATCAGAATTGTTCGTATACAAATATATTTCTCGTAATTAAGTCTGGCAAATCTTAAATTATCTGCATTCTTTATGCTGGTATGCGATATAATCTACTTAAAGTTATAATCTTCTCTTTGCCTAAATGGACAATTCTGCGATGCTTTTTGACGGGTATCTATAAAATAGCCAAAAAATCCCCTAGACATTCCAAAATTTCTTTGAATTGATGGATATATTCTATATTTGAATTGATTATGTAAAATTTGTCTTTTGCTTAACAGGTGGTTTGGACACTCCTAGTGTTATTAAACTTACTGCGAATATTAAGAAAACACGAAGAACTTTCATTGTACCGTGTGAGAATTCTTTTTAATTATTACAACACCTGAAAAACATAAAATTTTTACTTGAAATATCTATTTCTTCTTAAGTAAGTTTTTGTTTTTTTTGGAATAATTGAATAAAAATTTCTTCTGTCAAATCGCCTGAATTATATATCTTCTGAATACTTTTATCATTTTTTAACTTTCTATTTACAATTTTTTAAACAATTTTTTACAATTTTTCTGTTTACAATTTTTTATCTGTACTATTTCTTATATTACTGAAAATTTTTACACTTCTTGAGCTGAATGCAGGTTTTTGCATCTAGTGTTAACATCTTCTTTTTTTAGTTTACATAAAATAAATTTTATACCGTTTGTAATTTATCACAAACGTATTGCAAATGTTGGTATTTTTGACTTCGCTCAACAAATGAAAATACGATTTGTCTCACGTGCGAATATTTATAATACGTTCTAAACTTTCCCCCTTCTGTTCATATTTTATAAGCTGTATTATCGTTATATGAAAAAGAACTGGTTTTATAAACACGCGTATTCTATTCTTAGTATTACTACGTCTGATAGTTGTACATGAAGGCTAAGTAAGGCATTATCATTTGTATGCTAATGTTTTGCGAGGGATTTGATCACTTTTTGTTCGAAAATAATTATACAGTTTTTATTTTCGAATATTTTTTATATTGATTATTTGTAAGAACCTTCAAAATGGACTTTCACTTTATGAATTGATCGAAGCTTCCATGAAAAGCTGCTTTCGAATATAATCATTCTAACGCAGGCTCCAATCAGTCTAAACAATCTATAACTAAAATTCAAAGACATGAGTATTAAATGTTTTTCTTCTAAAATACATATAAAAAAAAATGATACGAACGCTTTGGATCAGTCAAAATGTTTGTTTCGATTTTTTAATCAAATTTGATTTTATTGCATTTAATTGAAGAAAATTATTCATTTTTTAAATATTAATTTTCTAAATGATTATAATCGGAAAAGTATTGTTTTTGCAATGGTATGTAATATATAAACAAACGTAATTGGCATTTCCATTTATATTATATCTGAATGCCACTTATTGAAAACCGAACAAAACTTTTGCTAGACTCAATGCATTGATTTCTAACGAGTTTTAATAGATTAGAATATTTCGTATGCCATCTTATCTGTTAAAACATCTCTGATATTTCAATAGTCATATTAATAGCGACATTATCGTTATTAACAACACTATTGAGACAACATAAAGAAATATTTTTATTGTCTAAGACTAAACATTCTTCATTGTCTAAAACTTAAAGCATAAGAACTTGAAGAGTAAAATTGTTTTTAATAATATCTTGATTTACAGCGTTTATAACTTCCAATTTTAGTGTATTATTACCACACTTGTTTGTAGAATATTGGTGAAAAATTTTATATTGCAGCAAAACACAAAAGAGCAGCAATATATTGTTTATTAATCAAATCGCAATTTTATTGATCTTTCGGTTTTTTGCTTTTTATTTCGTATCTCCTTTTTTGGATTCTTTTTTTTATCACAGTTATTAGAACAATACATGCGCGCGCCATATAGCTAATAAAAAACAATAAAAAATGTAAAATAAAAATTAAGTAAAAATTAAATTAAAATATACTTTAATTAATTAATAATTATAGGGAGAGACAAGAAGAGACGGGAAGATACAGGGAGAGGCAGGAAGAGACAGGGAGAAACAGAGAGAGAGAGAGAGGGGGAAAGACAGGGAGAAATAGGGAGAGATAGGGAGAGACAGGGAGAAACAGGGAGAGACAAGAGAGGCAGGAGAGACAGGGAAAGACAGGGAGAGACAGAGAGAGACATATCTCTTTTGTATTTTTTTTTGTAACTTAACCAACGCGATGACAGCTATTTGTCTGGTAATTTGACAGGCGCAAACGACATGAAGCAAGCCGCAGTCCACATGAAGTGAGCTAAGCGAGAAAACCAATCAGCATCGCGGAAAAGCGGCAACAATCAAATCTCTTACATGCCTTCTTTTAGAGAGGATTATTACACCTGCGGATCTCATATATTTCACTTTCATTCGTTACATTCACTGTGTTGTCTGCCACAGCAAACGTTTTTCCATTTTCCTCTATTCATATATACACATTCCGATGACTTAATCAACTGCATAAATGTGTCTTTAGTTCTTCCTAGTAAAAGCTTTTATTATTTCTATTATTTAAGTATATGTAAATTGAAATGTTATTAATCGTTTAGTTCATCATATATGCACATTATAAAGTAAAAGTTAAAAGTATCCTTTGGAACGCGGAATTACTTGTCGTGATTCAAGAACATGATTAATAAATATCAGTGGATAAATCACACGATATACATTGTTTAGCTACACAATGTAGGCTACACGATTGAAGGCTACAACGACTAATGAATATCAGTGGAGTAAATCACACGATTTGTTGTACACATTGTTTGGAAAAGAATATAAGTTTAATATGAAAAAAATGAAATTACCATGTAATTATAAGGATGTGATAATTTGACAAATTAATGAGTATTATACAAATTCGTCAATTTTTCGAACATTATTTTATCAAGTCACATTTCCAGCTAATACAAATCTTATGGTCAAAGGCGTTTTAAAAATAACATTATGCCTAGATCAGTGGCGTAGCCAGAAAAAAGTTTCGGGGGCTGTTTTTATTTTATTTTTGACGAGCAAAAAAGGTCATTCAAAAAAATTTTTCTCACACTTAGCGTAACTCAGAAAATTTATTTCGGGGGGGAACTGCAGCCTCCTTAGCCCCCCCTGGTTTCGCCACTGAGATCAATGAGAAACAGATCACTATATGTTGATAAACACAGGCTGCGATTATACTCGAGTAAGCAAAGTAACGGAAAGATAAAGATACAATATTATATAAAGGTATAATCTCCAATATCCTTGCAATTATTTATTTATTTTTAAGAAATAATTATATGTACTTACACTATTCATAAATATTTGCATATTTATATAAAAATAATAAATAAATATACAAAAATAAATTCTATGAAAATAAAACTCAAAAATTTTTTATATAAATGAAAGTAGCTAAATCAAAATAGATAAATTTTCTTAAAAAACATTCTGGAAGATATTTTTGAAAAATTTTTTAGAAAGATTGTATAGCAAATTTTTTTTATTCAATTTGCTTTTTTTGTCTTTATAAATTAATACGTATATTTTTTAGAAGTTTATTGATTTTTTTGGACATATTTATTTACCTTTTTTGATTCCTATAATTTCTTTTCAAAATAAAATTGTATATATATTTTTGTTTTTTATTATAATGTATATCTTTTCATTGGTACTCAGATATTTACAGAAAACTTCTATTTTCAAGCTGTCACTTCAATTTATTCTACTTTCTCTTGATTTATTTCTTGCCGTTTTCTAATGTTTTCATTCATACGCACTTATCACCTTAAAAATTTTTAAATTAGTTTATCAATTAATTCCGAGGGATCTACAGGAAGACACAACACCGACATCAATTGTGAAAAAACTTTTCTTAGCACAATTTCATACATTCATTATCTTGTATTTCATTGATTATTTCATTGTCTTATTATATTACTTATAGATCATGATATTATAGAAGTCACTCATATTCTTGAATCTGCGAACACAAAATGTCAAAACGCAGAAATGTGAATATATCTTGCAAGAAGTTCCGAAATATTAAAATCTCTCATGCCATACTCATTTATTTCAATGTTTCTATGCGATTATCATATATTAATTATCTTTGATTTTTCATAGTAATTATTTGTTTCGCATTCATTAAATACTGACGTACGTAACTTAGAAAGTTTGCGTTTAATAGCCTAAATATATTAAAAAAACTTTAATATTTTCATGTTTAATAATGTCGCTGATACTAAAATTAGTTGAAATGACATGCGAAATCCGCAAACATGACTTCTACTTCTAGCAGTTCTATGTGTTATGATACATTGCATTACTTGAAATAGTAATACTTGAATTTTTTTGTACTGTCTGTCGCGTGATTAAGAAATTCACGAGAGGCAATCGTAATTGATTTGATGGATATACCTGTACATCTTCACTGTTATACTCTATCGCGACATATTCCCAATCTATCCTGTTGTTGACCCAATAGACATGGATTTCTGGTTTTATCAGGAAATGTTATGATAGCAGGAAACTGCAAAAATAAACTGCTCGTCTCGTAACCAGGGGTAGTGATTTGCGCATATGGGAAGGTACGTTCGGGCATTCCCAGTGACATTGCGATGACGGTTGTTAGCATGATTATTAAAGAGATATTATGAAGTGTTTTCATGGCGTGCCGCATGAAAATTTGACTATACTTTTCGTGACCTAAACATTAGAAAAAAAATTATATCAAGTACGACTTATCGTTTTCCTCGCCCTTCTTTCCTCGTATAAATTTTTTGTACGCGATCTTTCCGATTCTTGTACAACTTTATCACTTCTAATTTATCTTTTCTCGCTCCCCTGAACATTCTTCAATGTTTCAAAATGCAACCACAATATTTCTCTTCAATATCTCCACGTCAAAGTTTCTTACAGTTTTACAGACTTACCGCGATTTCCTCTGTTTTTCTTAAGTTCGGGCCTTTATCGTTTCACGAAATAAACATATATAGTCAATTCTTTCCTGCGGGTCGTCTACTTATATTCTCATGCTCTTCGCATTATGCAAAGCTTCATTATATTATCATATAAAAAGAACCGGTTATAAGCTAAAGTGTTCCCTAATACGCATGAGGAAGTCACGTACGAAGGTTAAACAGATAATTATGACTGAGTCGCTCGTATAACGGGATGCTTAAAAAATATTATCTTTATTTTTAGCTGCGCGCATCTTCAGAAGATAATTATATACTTAATGTTGATAAATATTTCTAGAGACATTACAAACGGGAACAGAAAGTAAGGTTACAAAACTATATAAATTTAAGCTGATCAGTTCAGTTAGAAAAGTTAAAAAACGCTGATCGATTGTTTCATTGCTTTCAATGCATCTCTTAAGATGCTTATCGACGCTTATTGCACATTTCTTCAACTAAACATAATTCGACTTCTTATACATTTTATGCATCATGATGCAATACTCTGGCTGCATTAGAAAATGAATAAATATGCTGGCTATGAAATAAAGTATAAATGTGTTACTTTCACGTAATGGCAGGTAGAGAACTAATTTTGGCCGCAAATAAATTTGTTTAACAATAGAAAACGATGTTAACATAGAGTAAAATTGAAAGCGAAGAGGGAGATACCGCGTAAACAACATTATGGAAGAATAATGAAGCGTGTTTATCCTGCTCAAGTTCTCGTCTAACTGCGTTTGTTTTTAACTGCTGGATGACTGCGCCTTTTAGCGGATTCATAGGAGAAAAGCGCTGACGCATTATTAAAAAGTATAACTTAATTTATTTGTTTGAAGACCATACATATAATGTATGGACTGAAATATGTATGTAAACTGTTGCTGAATCTCTAAGCTTTTTTTCATGAAAAGTGCTATTGAAAAGTCAGTATTTATTTGTCACATGGATATGTCTAAGCTAAAATATGATTTATTCCATAATTCTCTCTTTTTCTCTCATTATATTTTTATGTATAACATGTAATATAATTTAAATAAACAGGCATTGTATGTAGTACTAATAAGGTGAATTTATTGAAGTTTCGTCGGTACACAAAATATTTTTGTCATTATGTTGTGCTGCGGTGACGATACTTTGGAATTTTACCGTGCATCCGGTTTTCAACTGAAATACTATTGCCGAAATATTGATATCTTTGGGCTTGTAAACAAACATAAAATATATATGTTGTATTTCCTGGAAAAATTCGTCGCAAATCTACATGAAATTTTTTACAGAACTGAAAAGAAATCTTTAAAGAAAATAAATCTTGTGTAAAATAAGATTATATCTAACTATAAATTTATATCTAACTATAAACGTGAACTGAGATTAATCGGCATCAGTACCATTTGCTTTTTCATACATGAAACTATAGTAATTTTCTTAAAGTATCTAAAAAAAGAGAGGCGGAAAAATTATGTAATCAAATATATATAATGGTAACATTCTTACATTGATGTTAAGTAAAATATTTACATTCTTTAATGTAATAATGTTACCGCGCGTAGATGTTGGTCCGAATGACGCAATTTCTGTATTGTGAAGGAGGAAAAATGCATATTAACTTGTAATTTTCCGCGATTGAAGGTTACACTTGTGAAAAAATAAATATCAGTGAAGCAAATAGAAGAACTTATACCCGGTATATGCACTGAAAGCATAAAGAAACTACCCAGATAGTACAGAAAATTAAAAAAAAATTCAGTCATATGTCACCAGTTGTAAGTTCATTTCTAAATGCAAAGAATTTTTTTTACTGAACTGAATACTGAAGAATTCTCTTTGCATCTAAAAATGAACTCGGAATTGGTGACATATGACTAAATTCTTTTGAATTCTTTTTAAATTCCCTGTGCTATCTGAGTATTCTCTCCTACTGCTTTTTATACAGGTTGTCTAAAAAATTGTTTAATATGTACAAGTATAATGTAAAAAAAAAGTTATAAATTATCTGATAAATTGATATTATTTAGATTCTCATAGCAAAATTTGGACAATTTTGCAAAATTGCAATCAACTGTAGGCAATGGTAATTTTGCAAATTCTGTTATCTTTATTCACGAACACTATTCCACTAACTCACATGTCCAGTTCATATCAGTATCATGGTTGAAGGCGTTTTAAAAATAATCCAACTAGCTCAATGTGAAATAGTCCGCTATATGTCGGTAAATATGGTTTTTGTTTTTAGACGTGCAAGAATAGCAATGAAATGTATTAGTAAAGTAAGTTCTTTTTCTTTCTCCCATTATATTTTTATGTATAACATGTAATATAATTTAAATAAACACGCATTGTAGAACTAATAAGGTAAATTTATTAAAGTTTCGTCGGTACACAAAATACTTTTGTCATTATGTGGTTGTGCTGCGGCGACGATATTTTGGAATTCCTGTGCATCCAGTTTTCAGCTGCCATTGACAAAATACTTATATCTTTGGGCCTGTAAACAAATATAAAATATACTTGTCGTATTTTCGGGCGGAATTCGTCGCAAGCCGAAATATAATTTTTGACAGAACTCAAAAGGAATTTTTAAGAAAAATAAATCCTGTCTAAAATAAGATTATATCTAATTATAAATCTAACGTGTTTTCAGATAAATCGGAACTAGTAGAACTTGTTTTTTCATAGATGAAACTAGCATAAATTTACTTTAAAGAAAATGCGCATTTTACTGGTCATTCTTATTATTATTTATATAATATATATTACATACGAATTATTAATATATTAATATATTAGAATATTACTAATATAATTAATAATTATATTGTATTAATTCTAATATATCTTAATAATAATATATATGTTAATGACTATACTATAATATAACAAAATGCTGCTAATAATTATTATTTGTCAGTTTACTTTAATTTATAACATTTTAGGAAGTCAATATAAACTACATTTATAAATATACTTAATTCATTATATTTTCTTAAAGTATCTGAAAAAGAGCGAGAGGGAAAAATTGTGTAATCAAATATATAATGGCAATATTATTACATTAATATTAAGTAAAATATTTACACTCTTATAATTACATGCAACCTCAGTTTCTGTGGAATTTATCTTTAAATTGCGCGCTGTGTTTCAAAGACTTTATAAAACGTAAATGCGCATTATTCAATCTTGTCACTTAGAACTTCTGTTTGTTAAGATTATATTATCTGTTACAATTAAACACATTCCTTGATAGTTAAAAATATATCAATACCTGTCAACTCTGCATCATCAGGCATCTGTTATTGGTATGCTGCCTCTGTTGTTTGGGACACGGTTGTATTTTTCCGGACCCCAACTTAAAATAGGACTCCATACTCGTGCTGGTCTCATAGGCCGATACGTGCTTCGTTCGTTAGGCTGATTGTTCAATAACGGATTATTCATTTGCTGACAAAGCTCCTCTGGCACTAAAGTGAGTACCATTATCACTAATAGAATACAGGCGAAAGATTTCATCTTGCAGCAATACAAAAGAGCAACACGGATTTTGTTTATAAACTGAATCGAATTTCGATCGATCCTTGCGTTTTCAAAACTTGGTATCTTTTTTTTTTAGATTTCTTCCTCTTAATTATCTCAAATTAAAGTAATATATCCGCGCACCTCACTTTACTTTACTTTAGCTCGTGTTCGTTATACTATCCACTACACCGAGTGTTTGCCGCTGTTCTAATGCAAGCTTCCTATTTATAACATAGATGTTGGTCCGGATGACGCAAATCCTGCCTTATGAAGCAGGAAAAATGCAGATTAACTTGTAATTTTCCGCGATTGAAGGTTACACTTGTAAAAAAATAAATATCAGTGAAGTAAATAGAAGAACTTATACCCGGTATATGCACTGAAAGCATAAGGAAACTACTCAGCACAGAAAATTCAAAAAGAATTCAGTCGTCACCAATTCTAAGTTCATTTCTAGATACAAAAAGAATTCTTTTTACTGCTCTGAACATTGAAGAATTCTCTTTGCATCTGAAAATAAACTCAGAATTGGTGACAAACCACTGAATTCTTTTGAATTCTTTTTGAATTCTCTGTTCTACCTAGATATCCTCTCCTATGGCTTTTTATACAAATTGTCTAATAGGTACAATTGTAACGTAAACAAAAATTATAAATTATATTTATGTAAATTAATATTTAATTTTTCACAGCAAAATTTGGATAATTTTGCAAAACTACAATCAGGTGTAGGCAATGGTAATTTTGCAAATTCCGTTATCTTTATTCACGAACATTATTCTACTAACTCACATGTCCAGTTTATATCGGTCTTATAGATTGAAGGTGTTTTAAAAATAACACTCCAAATAGATCAATGTGAAATAGTCCACTATATGTCGGTAAATACTGGTTTTTGTTTTTAGTCGCGCAAGAATAGCAATAAAATGTATTAGTAAAGTAAATAGGTGTTATAAACTAAGTGTTAAAGAAGGTGATATAAGCTCTTCTTGTCTAGTGTCTTCTGTCCCTCTCGCTAACGTATTATTAAAAAATATAATTTAATTTATTTATATGAAGACCATACATATAATATATGGGACTAAAATACGTATGTAATATATTTAAAATATATGTATGGAAATTGTTGTTGTAAATCTCTAATCTTTTCTTAATGAAAAATATCATTAAAAAGTCAATATTTCTCTATCACATAGATATGTCTAAACTGAAATATAATTTATTGCATAGTTATCTCTCTTTCTCTTATTATGTTTTTATGTATAACATGTAATATAATTTAAATAAACATGCTTGTATGTAGTACTAATAAGGTCATTTTATTGAAATTTCGTCGGTACACAAAATATTTTTGTCATTATGTGGTTGTGCTGCGGCGACGATATTTTGTAATTCTACTGTGCATCGGGTTTTCAGCTAACATTGTCGAAATTCTGAATTTTGGGCCTGTAAACAAACATAAAATATATTTGTCATATTTTCGAGCGAAATTCCTTGCAAGTTAGAATATAAGTTTTAACAAAATTAAAAAAAATCGTTAAGGAAAATAAATCCTGTGTAAAATAAGATTATATATAATTATAAATCTAACGTAATTTTAAATAAATTGGCACCAGTAGCACTCGCTTTTTTATATATGAAAATAGCGTAAATTTACTTTAAAGAAAATGCGCATTTCACTAATCATTATTATTATTATTTATATAATAAGAATAATAATATAATAATAGTATATTACATATTAAATTATTAACATATTAATATATTATTAATACAATTAATAATTATATTTTATTAATTCTAATATATCTTAATAATAATATATATGTTAATGACTATACTATAATATAACAAAGTGATGTTAATAATTGTTATTTGTCAATTTACTTTAATTTGTAACATTTTAGGCTGTGAAGCCAAGATAAACTACATTAACAAATATAGTTAATTCATTATATTTTCTTAAAATATCTAGAAAAGAGAGAGAAGGAAAAATTATGTCGTTAAATATGAAAAGGTAACATTTTTACATTATTATTAAGTAAAATATTTGCACTCTTATAATTACATGCAAACTCAGTTTCTGTGAATATAATCTTTAAATTGTGCTTGAAGGACTTTGTGAAACGCAGACGAACATTATTCAATCTTGTCGCTTGGAACTTCTGTTTGTTAAGATTTTATTATTTGTTACAATTAAACACATTCCTGGGTAGTTAAAAATATATATCAGTACCTGTCAACTCTACATGTTGCCCGCGCCTGTCATTGGCATCCCGCCTCCGCGGTTGTAGTAACCCGGACCCCGTCTTAAAATAGGTCGACGCCAACTTCCTGTTCCCATAGGCCGAAACATGCCTGGCTGATTCATGCCTGGTCCCATAGGCTGATTCATGCCTGGTCCCATAGGCTGATTCATGCCTGGTCCCATAGGCTGATTGCTCGGATTATTCATTTGCTGGCAAAGGTTCTCTGGCACTAAATTGAGTACCATTATCACTAATAGAATACAGGCGAAAGATTTCATCTTGCAGCAATACGGATTTCGTTTATAAATTGAATCGAAATTCGATCGATCCTTGCGTTTTCAAAACTTGGTATTTTTTTCTGGATTTCTTCTTCTTAATTATTTAAAATTAAAATGCTATATCCGCGCGCACTTCACGTATCTTCACTTTACTTTAGCTCGTTATGTTTGTTATACTATCTACTGCACCCAGTGATTTGCCGCTGTTCTAACGCGAGCTTCCCATTTATAACATAGATGTTGCTCCGGATGACGCAATTTCTGCATTGTGAAGGAGGAAAAATGCATATTAACTTGTAATTTTCCATGACTGAAGGTTACACTTGTGAAAAAATTAATACTAGTGAAGTAAATGGAAGAACTTATACTCGGTATATACACTGAAAGCATAAAGAAACTATCCTCTTTTGTGGAATTTTATACAGTTTGTCTAAAAAATTGTCTAAAAAGTATAAGTTTAATGTAAAAAAAATTATAAATTATCGAATAAATTGATATTATTTATATTCTCATAGCAAAATTTGGACCATTTTGCAAACTGCAGTCAATTGTAGGCAATGGTAATTTTGCACATTCCGTTACCTTCATTCGCGAACATTATTCCACTAACTCACATATCCAGTTTACATCGATCTTATGGTTGAAGGCGTTTTAAAAATAACACTGCATCCAGATCAATGTGAAATAGTCCACTATATGTCGGTAAATATTGGCTGCTGTTTTCAGTCGAGCAAGAATAGCAATGAAATGTACTAGTAAAGTAAACAGGTATTATAAACTAGGTGTTAAGTAAAGTTGATACAAGCTCGTGTCTCTTGTCTCTTTTCTCGTGAATTCAGTTTTAAATGTTTTGTTTGTATAGAAATTTATATTCCCCGAGTGTGAAACTATTCCAAATACTTATTTCGTTCATTGTATACAAAGATTGTGGTAATGAATACATTTGCTATTACGTTGTATAAAATGTTGTTATTAAGTACATAAGTGGACTAAACTGCACAGGAAAGTCTTTACTCGTCCCGTGATGATGGTAAAAGTTATTAATAAATAAACTGATGAATATGAGTAAATGAATGTTCGACGAAATGCTAGCTGATGCTTTCGTATAGGCACGGCTCAAAAACCATGTTTTATATCCTTTCTGCTGAAAGACGTTTTATTTCTATCACGTGGGCATATGCAAATTAAAATGTTATTTATCCTGAAGTTTATTATATACGCGCATATTTGGGAATGTAATTTAAATACTCACGTATCGTGACCAGATTTAATAACATAAATTTGCTGAAACTTCGTTGATATGCAGAATATTTTTACTCTTGCGCGGTTATCGCCCCAATGATGTTTTAGAGCGTAACCTCGCATTTGGTTTTTCCTGACATTGCTGGAATGATATTTGCAAACATACATAAAATACGCATGTCATATTTTCAAAAGAAATCCGTGACAAACCTATATGTAACTTTTCAAGAGGTATTACTTATAGAGTTAACAATAAATTTTTAGGGACAGTAAACTGTATAAAACAAAATACAAAAATTGCCTTTTCATAAATTATGATAACGTAAATTTAAATCCAAAAGGGAGAATACATATTCTTTATTAATTATTGTAAGTTAGTTTACTTAAGTTTGTAACATTTAAGATTGCTAAGCCAACATCATCGGTATTAATAGTTGCAGTAAATTTGGTAACTGCATTTTAAGGATCTGTTTAAATATATAACCAAATAATGATTTTGAACATATCGTATACATATTAATATTAAATAAAATAAACTTCACATATAATCACATATTCACAAAATTAGTTTTCGTAAAAGCTTGTAGCTACATTGCGCGCTATCATAATGATTTAATAAAATACTATTGAGCTTCATTTAACCCTTTCGCTATTAATGTTGCTTTTGAAAAGTTTATTTTTGTTTCTGCAATTAAAATTTATCTGTTCTGTGCAAGCTACCATATGCAATAAAAAAATGTTGAAAAAATTTTGTGAATCTGATTATGATTTAAAATTTTGTTTTCATAATGAAATCAATGTCACCTTGAATTTTTTAAATGGTACCTTGCAATTTTTTTCATAATATCGTAGGGAATTTTAAGACGCACTACATATAAGAAGTATAATTTTTATTAAAATTTAATATCAAATTGGCAGCATTATTTTAAATAATAGTACTTACAAGTTCTGACTAGATATATGAAGCGTAATTCATCCTCTCCACGTTCTCGTCTAACTGCGTTGGTTTTTTATTGCTAGATGATTGCGCCTTTTAGCGAACTCGCAGAAGAAACGCTCTGACGCATCAGTAAAAAATAGAATTTAATTTATTTGTATGAAGACTATACATATAATGTATGGGATGGACTAAAATATGTATGTAATATGTTTGATAAATATCTGTATGATAACTGTTGCTGTGAATCTCTATTCTTTTCTTAATGAAAAGTGTCATTGAAAAGTCAGTATTTCTCTATTACACGGATATATCTAAATTGAAATATGATTTATTGCATAGTTCTTTCTCTTTCTCTCATTATATTTTTATGTATAACATGTATTATAATTTAAATAAATACGCATTGTAAGCAGAACTAGTAAGATGAATTTATTGAAGTTTTGTCGGTACACAAAATATTTTTGTCATTATGTGGTTGTACTGCGGCGACGATATTTTGGAATTCTACCGAATTCTTCATCCAGTTTTCGGCTAAAATACTATTACAGAACTACTGATCTCTTTGGACCTGTAAACAAACAAAATATACATATTGTATTTTCTGAAAAAATTTATCGTAAACCAAAATGAAATTTTTTACAGAACTCGAAAAAATGTTTAATAAAAATAAATCCTGTGTAAAATATATAATTATATCTAATTATAAATCTAACGTGATTTTAGATAAATCGGCATCTGTTCCACTGATTTTTTTACACATGATAGTATAAATATACTTTTAAAAAATACGCATTTTTACTAACTATTATTATTATTTAAATAATAATATTAATATAATAATATTATATTATATATTAATTATTAATATGTTGATGATTGTATTCATAATTCTAATATATCTATTAATAGTATTATATATATGTTAATGACCATATTACAAATAAAATTTTAAATGAATTATTAATATAAGTACTATTAATAATTATTATTTGATAGTTTACTTTAATTTATGTTGTTAAGCCAATGTAAAATTTTATTTTATTTATAATAATTATTATAATTATAATTATTATGAAAGAGATAATTGCGTAGTGCCACTTGAAAAATTCAAGTAAACGACATTAACAAACATATTTATTATATTTTCTTAAAGTATCTGAGAAAAAAGGGAAGAAAAATTATGTAATCAAATATATAATTGTAATATTATTACACTAATAATAAATAAAATATTTACACTTTTATAATTGCACGCAAACTCAGTTTCTGTAGAATTTGTCTTTAAATTGCGCACTGTACTTCAAGAACTTTGTGAAATGCAAACGCGTATTATTTAGTCTTGTGGCTTGGAATTTCCGTTTGTTAAGATTATATTATCTGTTACAATTAAACACATACTCTGACAGTTAAAGATGTATATCACTATCTATCATATCTTGCAGGGCGACGACATCTTCCCATACTCAGCTTCTCACCTTTGGGGCACGGCGGTCTTATATTTGAATTCACGTCTGCACGACTGAATGGACATATACCTAATGGCATTCTTGGCCGTTTTCTCGGTACTTGTTTCCGTCTGTCATCACGACTCTCAAAGGTCTTCTGACACTAAACTGAGTATCAATAGCACTAACAGAATACAGACGGAAAATTTCATCTTGTAGCAAAAGAGCAACACATATTTTATTTGTAAATTGAATCGAAATTCGATTAATTTTTGTGTTTCCAAAACTTCGTATCGCTTTTTCTAAATTTTTCCCATTTAATTATCTCAAATTAAAGTATGATATCCGCGTACTTCACGTATCACTTACTTTACTTTGGCTTGTTGTATTCGTTATCCATCATACCGAGTAAATGATATTCTAACGCGTGATCCTACTTATAATATAGAAGTTGCTCCGTTTCTAAGCAATTTCCGACGTAATTTCTAAATTATAGAGCAGGAAAGATGCAAATTAATATGTGCCGTTACAAGTCGTGATTGATGGTAATGAATATCAGTGAAGTAGATAGGAGAACTTATACCTGGCATATGCATTAAAACTATATTCTCCCCTGTAGTTTTTTTATAGATAATCTAAAAGATTGTCCAAAAAAAAAAACAAATTTAGCGTAAAAGAAAAAATTATGTGGTAAATTAATTGGTATTATTTTGACAATTTTGTAAAACTGCAATCAATTGTAAACAATGCTAATTGTGCAAATTCCGTTATCTATGCGGAGAATATTATTCCACTAACTCACTTTTCAGTTCACATCGACCTCTTGGTTGAATGCGTTTTAAAAATAACACTCCGACTACATTAATGTGAAATAACTATATGTCGGTAAATATTGGCTGCTGTTCGCAGTCAAGCTAGAAGAGCAATGGAATGTATCAGTGAAGTAAATGTGTCCTTTCTGTCGAAAGCCGTTATTATTTCTATCACTTGGGCATATACAAATTAAATGTTATTCCCATAGTTTATTATATATTCGTATATAGTTAGTAATATAATTTAGATACACACGTATCGTGACCGGACTTAATAACATAAATTTGTTGAAACTTCGTTGATACGCAGAATATTTTCGTCCTTGCGCGGTTATCGCCCCAATAATATTTTAGAGCGTAACCTCAAATTTGATTTTCCCTGACATTGCTGGAATTTGCTGATATTTGCAAACATACATAAAATACACATGTCGTATTTTCGAAAGAAATCCGTGACAAACCTATATGTAACTTTTCAAGAGGTATTATTTATAGAGTTAACAAGAAATCTTTAGGGACAGTAAACTGTATAAAACAAAATACAAAAATTGCCTTTCCATAAATTATGATAACGTAAATCCTAATCCAAAAGAGAGAATACATATTCTTTATTAATTATTGTGAGTCAGTTCACTTAAGTTTGTAACATTTAAGATTACTGAGCCAACATCATCGGTATTAATAGTTACAGTAAATTTGATAACTGCGCTCTTTAAGGATCTGTTTAAATATATAACCAAATGATTTCGAACATATCGTGTATTATATCGTATATTAAATAAAATAATCTTCACATATAATCACATATACGCAAGATTAGTTTTCGTAAAAGCCTGTAGCTATATTGCGCGCTATCATAATAATTTAATGAAACACTATTGAGCTTCATTTAACCCTTTCGCTATTAATGCTGTTTTTTAAAAGTTTATTTTTGTTGTTAATGAAAATTTATCTGTTCCATGCAAGCTACCATATACAATAAAAAAATGTTAAACAAAATTTTATTTTCATAAAGAAATCAATGTTACCTTGAATTTTACAAATGGAACCTTGCAATTTTTTTCATAATATTATAGAGAATTTTAAGACGCACTATATGTAAGAAGTATTATTATTAATATTTAATATCAAATTGGCAGCATTACTTTAAATAGCAGTATTTACAAGCTCTGACTAGATGTATGTAGTACGTAAACATAAACATTTCCGATACACAATTAAAATTAAAAATAAAATAAAATTTAATTTAACTTAAATAAAATAAAATTTTATTTTATTTATAATAACACTGCCAATATGATATTATATATAAATAAAAATTATATTTCTTATATAGTGTATTGAATTTATCTTGAAGTCGTCTACAATATTATGAAAAAGAAAATTGCGTAATGCCATATGAAAAATTTAAAATGACATTGATTACATGTTAAATAATCAAAAGTTTTTTTTAATTTTTTTTATTGCATGATAGCTTGCATAGAATAGATGAAGTTTTATTCTAAAAACTTTTCCTTAAATTTAAAATTAAATATATTTTTAAATTTAAATATAATTTTTTAACGGCATAGTTACTTGATTTTCCATTCCGGAAGCTATACCTAGACATGGCATAGTTACTTCTTTATGCGTCAGCTACACGTTTATCTACCAGAAAACTGGCCAGGAGTATACAAGTTTTTTCTACACAGATTTACAATATATTTTGTGTTCTAATGTGAACATCAAATCATTATAACAGTTTCAATGTTAGAATAAAAAAGCGTGATTCATCCTCTCCACGTTCTCGTCTAATTGCGTTGGTTTTTTACTGCTAGATGATTGCATCTTTTAGTGAACTCGCAGAAGAAATGCTCTGACGCATCAGTAAAAAATAGAATTTAATGTATTTGTATGAAGACTATATATATAATGTATGGGATGGACTAAAATATGTATGTAATATGTTTGAAATATCTGTATGGTAACTGTTGCTGTGAATCTCTATTCTTTTCTTAATGAAAAGTGTCATTGAAAAGTCATTATTTCTCTATCACATGGATATGTCTAAACTGAAATATGATTTATTGCATAGTTCTCTCTCTTTCTCTCATTATATTTTTATGTAAAACATGTAATATAATTTAAATAAATGCGCATTGTAGGCAGAACTAGTAAGATGAATTTATTGAAGTTTCGTCGGTACACAAAATAGGAGGAGGAATAATGCAGATTAACGTATCACGCCTGAGAGTCACATAGTTTTCTTTATGCGAAAGAATGAATATGACGTACATACAGAACTTGTACGTACGTAAAGAACTTGTATCCGGTGTATCCACTGAACATAAGGAAACTATCCTCTCCTGTGGTTTTTTCTAAAGATTGTCTAAAAACTCAGCAAACTCACGTCAAAATGACGTCAAAAACTGGTCATAACCCGCGAATTGACGTCAAATGACTAAATAATGGTATTTTTAAGACGTCTTTTTCGTGACGTCTTAATGACGTTTCTATACGACGTCATAATGACATATTATTAACGTTTAGAGACTTCCTGAAAACGTCATTAAAATGTTAAGTTAAAATTTTGTCATTATGTGGCTGTGCTGTGGCGACGATATTTTGGAATTCTACCGTGCATTCGGTTTTCAGCTAAAATACTGTTACTGAACTACTGATCTCTTTGAGCCTGTAAACACACAAAATATACATATCATATTTCCTGGAGAAATTTATCGTAAGCCAAAATGAAATTTTTTACAGAACTCAAAAAAATGTTTAATAAAAATAAATACTGTGTAAAATATAATTATATCTAATTATAAATCTAATGTAATTCAGATAAATCAGTAGCTGTACCACTGGTTTTTTTACACATGAAAGTAGTATAAATATACTTTAAAAAAATACGCATTTTACTAACTATTATTATTATTTAAATAATAATATTATATCATATATTAATTATTAATATGTTAATGATCATATTTATAATTCTAAATATATCTATTAACAGTACTATATATATGTTAATGACTATATTATAAGTAAAATTATAAGTAAATTATTAATATAAAGTACTATTAATAATTATTATTTGACAGTTTACTTTAATTTATATTGTTAAGCCAATATAAAATTTCATTTTATTTATAATAATTCTGCCAATTTGATATTAAATATCAATAAAAATGATACTTTTTTTATAGTGCATTGAGTTTGTCTTGAAGTCCTCTACAATATTATGAAAAAGAAAATTGCGTAGTGTCTTTTGAAAAATTCAAGTAAACGAACAAACAAAGTAAATTAACAAACAAATTTATTATATTTTCTTAAAGAATCTGAGAAAGGAGCAGAGAAAAATTATGTAATCAAATATATAATGGTAATATTATTACATTAATAATAAATAAAATATTTGCATTCTTATAATTGCATGCAAACTCAGTTTCTGTAGAATTTGTGTTTAAATTGTGCGTTGTGCTTTAAAGACTTTGTAAAACGCAAACGCGTATTATTCAATCTTATGGCTTGGAACTTCTGTTTGTTAAGATTATATTATCTGTTACAATTAAACACATTCTCTAACAGTTAAAGATGTATATCACTACCTGTCATTTTCTGACTGGGCGACACATATTCATACCCGACATCTGACCTCGGGGACACGGCGGTTTTTGGCCTGAATTCGGGCCTATAAAAGGCTTAATGTTGAAGAGCGACGGGTTAAATTTCGGCTTTTTATTCCGAAATCTCCGTCTGTGACCACGGTACTGGCAAAGGTCCTCTGACACTAAACTGAGTATCAATAGCACTAACAAAATACAGACGGAAAATTTCATCTTATAACAATACAAAAGAGCAACACAGATTTTATTTGTAAATTGAATCGAAATTCGATTAATCTTTGTGTTTCCAAAACTTCGTATCTCCTTTTCTAGATTTTTCCCACTTAATTATCTGAAATTAGCGTGCTATATCCGCGTACTTCACGTATCACTTACTTCACTTTGGCTTATTGTGTTCGTTACACTATCCGATCACACCGAATGATTGATTGCTCTTCTAACGCGTGATTGTATTTGTAATATAGAAGTTGCTGCTGATGATTCATTTTCCGCAAAGTGAAGTAGGAAGAATGCAGATTAACGTGTAATTTGCCACACCTGAAGATTACATAGTCTCTTTTTGCGAAAAAATGAATATGACGTATATAAAGTTACGTAAATAAAAAAACTTGTATCCGGTGTATCCACTGAACATAAGGAAACTATCCTCTCCTGTGCTTTTTATAGATTGTCTAAACACTCAGGTAGCAAACTCACGTCAAAATGACATCAAAAACTGGTCATAACCGGTGGATTGACGGCAAGTGACTAAATAACGACAAGTGACTAAATAATGGCATCTTTAAGACATCTTTTTCGTGACGTCTTAATGACGTTTCTATACAACGTCATAATGACGTATTATTAACGTTTAGAGACTTCCTTAAAACGTCATTAAAACGTTAGGTTAAAATAATGAAGCGTGATTCATTCCGCCCACGTCCTTGTCTAATTGCGTTTGTTTTTCGCCGCCGGATATCCGCGCCTTTTAGCAGATATGCAGAGGAAATGCGCTGACACATTATTAAAAAAAATAATATAATTTATTTGTTTGAAGACCATACATATCATATATAGGATGGACTGACAGAAATATGTATGTATTTGCTGAATCTGTAATCTTTACTTAATGAAAAGTGTCATTGAAAAGTCAGTATTTCTCTTTCACATGGATATGTCTAAACTAAAATATGATTTATTGCATATTTCTTTTTCTTTCTCATTGTATTGTTATGTATAATATAATTTAAATAAACACGCATTATAGGCAGGACTAATAACATAAATTTATTGAAACTTCGTCAGTACATAGAATATTTTTGTTATGTAATTGTGCTGCGCCGACGATATTTTGGAATTCTACCGTGCATCCGATTTTCAACTGACATTGTCGAAATTCCGATATCTTCGGGCCTGTAAACAAATATAAAATACGCAAGTCGTATTGTCGGGAGAAATTCGTCGTAAGCCAAAATGTAATTTTTTACAGAATTTAACAACAATTTTTAAGTAAATTAAATCTTGTGTAAAATAAGATTATATCTAAATATATATATATATATATATATATATATATATATATATATATATATAAATCTAACGTGGTTTAAGATAACTCGATACCAGTACCATTCCCTTTTTCACACATAAAAGTAGTATAAATTCATAAAAGAACATGCATTTTACTAATTATTATTATTAATATAATAATATTATATTATTAGTTATTAATATAATTAATAATTATATAATAATAATTTCAATATATATTAATGACTACGTTATAATATAATAAAGTAATGTTGATAATTATTATTTGTCAGTTTACTTTAATTTGTTACATTTTAGACTGTAAAGCCAATATAAACAACATTAACAATCATAGTTAATTCATTATATTTTCTTAAAGTATCTGGAAAAGAGAGAAAGAGAAAGATTATGTAATTAAATATATTATGATAATTATTACATTAATATTAAGTAAAATATTTACATTCTTATAATTACACGCAATTCATTTTCTGTGAAATTTGTTTTTAAATTGCGCTCTGTGCTTCACTTTGTGAAGTGCAAACGTGCATTATTCAATCTTGTCGCTTGGATCTTCTGTTTGTTAAGAATATATTATATATTACAATTAAACACATTCTTTAAATTTTAAAGATATATATCACTACCTGTCGACTCTATTTGCCTCTGAAGCTTGGGCGACATCTTCCCATAACCGGCCTCTGACCTCTGGGACACATTTTCGAACGCACCTTTGTAATTTCCTGAGTCGTGATTTGTCCTGTAGGCCGATTTCTTGATACTTGATTCCGTCTGTTACCACGTCTCTGGCAAAGGCCGTCTGATACTAAACTGAGTATTATTATCACTAATAGAATGTATACAAAAAGTCTCATTTTGCAGCAATACGAGAGAGCAACTCGGATTTTATTTATCAGTTGAATTCGATCGATCTTTGTACTTCTTCGTATTTCCTTCTCTGGATTTCTTGCTCTTAATTATTACAAATTATCGCTACATTTACATGTCACGTATCGCTTACTCCACTTTGGCTCATTATATTCATTATCCTATCCACTGTACCGTGTATTTAACTGCTCATTTAACGGTTGTTTCTTATTTATAATGTAGAAGTTTTTCTGGGTGACGTAATTTCTGTATCATAAAGCAGGAAATATTAGATTAGTATGTGGTATTACAAACCGCAACTGAAGGTGATGAAATCACTGAATGATGAATATCACCTAGGAAGTAGATAGCAGAACTTATACCCGGTATATGCACTGAAAGCATTAAAACTATATTTTCTTCTGTAGTTTTTTATACAGATAATCTAAAAGGATTGCCCAGAGAATACAAATTTAGCGTACAGAAAAAATTATAAATTATCTGGTAAATTAATTGGTATTATTTAAATTTTTACAGCATAATTTTGACAATTTTATAAAACTGCAGTCAATTGTAAACAATGTTAATTGTGCAAATTCCGTTATTTACGCGCAGAATATTACTCCATTAACTTACATTTCCAGTTCACATCGACACCTCCTGGTTGAATGAGTTTTAAAAACAACGCGACGACTAGACCAATGTGAAATAATTCACTATATGTCAGTAAATACTGGCTGCTATTTGCAGTCAAGCTGGAAGAGCAATGAAATGTATCAGTGAAGTAAATATGTCCTTTCTGCCGAAAGCCGTTATTATTTCTATCACTTCGGCATGTGCAAATAAAATGTTATTAATTCCGCAGTTTATTCTATACACGCGCATAATTAGAAATATAATTTAAATACACACGCTTCGTGATCAGATTTAATAGCATAAATTTGCTGAAACCTCGTTGATATGCAGAATATTTTTGTTCTTGTACGGTTATCGTCCCAATAATGAAAAAAAAATGTATTGTGGTTTCTTTATCATATATCTACTGTTTATAATGCGTTTTCATACTATTTTTCTGCATTTGACACTCCTGATCTTCTTATAAGAAAGAACCTGTTTTATAAATTGGCATATCTTGTTTCAAATGACAAATAATTATAAGTTTAAAATATATTACTTTATTGTATGGATCGAAGAATTGCTTAGTTGTAAATGATGATAGATGCTTGAATAATTAAATGATTGTTGGTAACGTGCATATGATCTAATATCCTTGCAAGTATCATTATTTATTTAACTTTAGGAAATAATTATATGTACTTACATTGTTTATAAATATTTGCATAATTATGTAAAAGTAATAAGTAAATAATATAAAAATAATAAAATAAAAATAATAAAAATAAATGTACTAAAAATAATTATATGATAATAAGACTCAAAGTTTGCATACATGAATAGTTAAATCAAAACAATTAAACGTACTGAACAACATTTTAAAAGAGATTTTTGAAAAATTTTATAAAAAGATTATAGGATAAAAAATCTTTTTTTTCAGTTTGCTCTTTTTTATTCAGTTTGCTCTTTTTGTCTTTATAAATTGACACGTATATATTTTTAGAAGCTTATTAATTTTTTTGGACATAATATTTCCATGTTTAATAATGTCGATGATACTAAAATTAGTTGAAATGATGACTTGTGAAATATTCGCAAACACGATTTTTATTTCTAGCAGTTTCACGTGTTATGATACATTGCTTCACTTGAAATTGTAATATTTTATTTTTTTGTACTATCTGTCACGCAATTAAGTGATTCACGAGTGGTAATCCTAATTATTGATTTGATGGATATATCTGTATGTCTTCACTGTTATACTCTATCGCGACATGTTCCGAATTTACCCTGTTTTTGACCCGATAGATATGGCTTTCTGTTTCTATCAAGAAAGGTTATGATAGCAGGTGTCTGCACAAATAAACTGCTCGTTTTGTAACTAGTAGTGGTTTGCGCATATAACAAGGCACGTTCGGATATTCCCAGTGATGTTGCAATGACGGTCGTTAGCATAATTATTAAAGAGACATTAAGAAGTGTTTTTATGGCGTGCCATGCAAAAATTTAAATACACTTTTCGTGATCTAAACATTAGAAAAAAAAATTACATCAACTACGATTTATCCTTAAATGTTTTCTTCAACCTTCTTTCCTTGTATTTCTTTGTACGCGATCTTTCTGATTCTTGTACAACTTTATCACTTCTTATTTATCTTTTCTCGCTCCTCTGAACATTCTTCAATGTTTCAAAATGCAACCACAATATTCCGTATTTTTCTTCAATATCTTCACGTCAAGTTTTCTTATAATGTACGGACTTACCGTGATTTCCTCTGTTTTTCTTAAGTTCGGGTCTTTATCCTTTCGCGAAATAAACATGTATAGTCAGTTCTCTTCTGCGCGTCGTGTATTTATAATCCTCATGTCCTTCGCATTATGTAAAATTTCATTACTATCATATGTAAAAAGAACCGGTTATGAGAATTAATTAATATATTCTTTAATATGAGAAAGTCACGCACGAAATTTCAATAGATGAATATGGCTGAGTCGTTCGTTTAACGGTTTGAAAAATCTTATCTTTACTTTTAGCTGCGCACATCTTCAGAAGATAATTATACTTTTATACTTATTACTTATAATTATACTTTTATACTTATTACTTAATGTTGATAAATATTTCTAGAGACATTACAAACGAAAACAGAAAGTAAGGTTACAAAACTATATAAATTTAGGCTGATCAGTTTAGTTAGAATAGATAAAAAACGCTGATCGATTGTTTCATTGCTTTCATCGCATCTCTGAAGATGCTTATCGACGCTTATTGCGCATTTCTTCAACTACACGTAATTCGACTTCTACACATTTTATGCATCAAGATGCAATACTCTGGCTGCATCAGCAAATGAATACATATGAAATAAAAGTACTGACGTGTTACTCTCACGTGGTGACAGGCGTAAAGAAATAATTTCGGCCGCAAATAAATTTGTTTAACAATATGAAACGATGCTAAAGAGAGTATAGAGTCAAATTGAAGGCAAAGAGCTTGGAGGAAGGGTTATCGCATAAACAATATTGTGAGAGAATAATGAAGCGTGATTCATCCTCTCCACGTTCTCGTTTAACTGCGTTTGTTTATAACCGCTGGATGGGTGCGCCTTTTAGCAGACTCGCAGAAGAAATGTGCTGACGCATTGTTAAAAAATGTAATTTAATTTATTTGTTCAAAAACTATACATTTAATATATAGATTGAAATATGTATGTAATTATGTTTGAAGTATACGATGCAAACTTTTGCTGAATTTCTAATCTTTTCTTAACGAAAAGTCAGTATTTCTCTATCATAAGGATATGTTCAAACTGAAATATAATTTACTGCATAATTCTCTTTCTTTCTCTCATTATATTTTTATATATAACATGTAAATTTAAATAAGCACGCATTCTAGACAGAACTAATAATTTATTGAAGTTTTGTCGGTACACATAATATTTTTATCATTACTTTGTGCTGCGGCGACGATATTTTGGAATTCTATTGTATATCCGGTTTTTAGCAGAAATACTATTATTGAACTACTGATCTCTTTGGACCTATAAACAAACAAAATATACATGTCGTATTTCCTGGAAAAATTTATCGTAAGACAAAATAAAATTTTTTGTAGAAATAGAAAAAATTTAATTAAAATAAACCTGTGTAAAATATAATATCTAATTATAAATCTAACGTGATTTCAGATAAATCGGTACCAGTACTACTGGTTTTTTTTGTATTATTTAAATAATAATATATATATAATAATATATCATATTAATTATTAATATGTTAATGATCATATTCATAATTCTAATGTGTATCTATTAATATAGATACTATATGTTAATGACTATATTATAATAACATTATTATTATATTATAATATAACAAAGAAATGTTAATAATTATTATTTGTCAGTTTAATTTGCAACATTTTGGATTGTAAAGCCAATATGGACGACATTAACAAACAGTTAATTCATTATATTTTCTTAAAATATCTGAAAAAAAGAGAGAGAGAGAGAGAGAGAGAGAGAGAGAGGGAGAGAGAGAGAGAGAGAGAGATTATATAAGGAAATATGTAATGGTAATATTATTACGTTAAGCCAGTAGCGGTGCTTGTTTTCGTGCTGGATTGCTTGCTGGATGGAAATACTCTATTTTGATTGGTGTATTTCCATCCATTTTCAGATATGCACCAATTAGCAAGTAATCCAGCATGAAAACAAGCACTGTGTGCCGCTGGCTTTAATGTTAAGTAAAATATTTACACTCTTATAATTGCACGCAAATTCAGTTTCTGTGGAATTTGTCTTTAAATTGCGCGCTGTGTTTTAAAGATTTTGTGAGACATAAACACGCATTATTCAGTTTTGTTACTTGGAATTTTTGTTTATTAAGAATATATTACATGTTACAATTAAACATATTCTTTAAATTTTAAGGATATATGTCACTACCTGTCAACTCTATTTCCCGGTCGGGCGACATCTTCCCATAACCGGCCTCTGACCTCTGGGACACATTCTCGAACGCACCTTTGTAATTACATTATTCGTGATTAGTCCTCTAGGCCGATTTCTTGATACTTGATTCCGTCTGTTACCACGTCTCTGGCAAAGGCCGTCTGATACTAAACTGAGTATTATTATCACTAATAGAATATAGACGGAAAATTTCATCTTACAGCAATATAAAAGAGCAATATGAATTTTGTTTATAAATTCGATTGATGTTTGTGTTTCCAAAACTTCGTATCTCCTTTTCTAGATTTCTTTCTCTTAGTTAGCACTTCACGTATCGCTTATTTCACTTTGGTTCATTATGTTCATTATATTATCCACTACACCGAGTGTCTAGTCGCTGTTCTAACGCGTGTTTCTATTTTATAACATTGTTCCTCCTCTCTCTTTAATGACGCAATTTCTGTAGTGTATTTGTGAAGTAGGAAAAATTAACATATAATTTGCCATGACTGAAGATGGCACTTGCAAAAAATGAATATCAGTGATGTAAAAAGAACTTATACTCGGCATATCCATTGAAAACATAAAGAAACTATTTTCTCCTGCGATTTTTTATACAGATTGTCTAAAGGGATTGTCTAAAAGTACAAGTTTAGTAAAATAGAAAATTATAAATTATCTAGTTAATTAATTGGTATTATTTAGATTTTTATAGCAAAATTTGGACAATTTTGCAAAACTGCATACAATTTTATGTAATGGTAATTTTGCAAATTCCGTTATTTTCATTTACGCGCAGAACACTATTCTATTAAGTCACTTTCAGTTCACATGGTTCGATCTCATGGTTGAAAACGTGGTAAAAATACTGAATAGAGGACCGTGCTCTTACGATATTGGCCTATGTTATCACGGATATGTCCTTAAGTAACATTTAAAAAGTTTTAAGCGTCGCTCATTGTTTGTTAAAAAGTTATTAACAAAAGATATTTTATAAATGAAACAAAATTTTTGTATACAATATAAATTGAAAATTATTCAATATTGAAATTTATTTAATATTGTTTACTATATTTTTATGTATTTCTATGTATAATTGCCAGGGTTAGATCCATTTATAACATGTACATTTTCAAAACTTTAAACTCAAATATCTCAGAAACTACATGCGATCTCCATATAGTTATAGGAATAAATTACTCAAAATACTATTCTATATATACCACTTTATATACAGAATACTATTTTAAAACACTTCAAAAAGAAAAAATCGGTAAAGTATTACCTTTTATGCAGTTTTACCAAAATTTTTGTACTGCATGTGGTAGTTTGCACGGAACAGATGAATTTTTCTTCTAAAACATTTTTTTCTGAATTGTCGGAAAGTGTCTAAAATATCCTGTGGATTGTAACGCTGAACACTCGGCATAATGCTTTTTTTGCAAAAAAAAAATTGAAGTTATATGTTTGACGGTAAAGCGATAGAGCTGGGACTATAATAATCCACTAGGGTTTTGGAAAGGCATATCTGTCCCAAACAATAGTAAATAGAATGATAGCTGATGTATAATAATAATTTGAATGTTAAAAAGGCTGTTCATTTAATTGAATACGGCTGTTATTACTGGTGAAGAAAATATATGTTCTGGGACATATAAATTTGGTAGCGATTGGTTCTCTGCTTGAACTACTGTACATTACAATTATTCTATCTCTTTTAAAATTGAATATATTTTTAAATATATTCTTTTAATAAAATACTTACTTCTCTTTGCATCAGCTACATGTTTTCCTACCAGGAAGCTAGCCAAAAGCACACAAGCTCTTTCTATGCATATTCACAATAAATTTTGTTCCAATGTTAATATCAAATCCTTATAGTAGTTAGAATAATGAAGCATGATTTATTCCGTCCACGTCCTCGTCTAATGACGTTTGTTTTTTGCCGCCGGATGGCCGCGCTTTTTAGCAGACACGCAGAGGAAATGCGCTGAAGAATTAATAAAAAATATAATTTAATTTATTTGTTTGTGGACCATATATGTAATGCACAGGATGAATTGATAGAAATATGTATGTATTGCTCAATCTGTAATCTTTTCTTAATGAAAAGTGTCACTGAAAAGTCGAAGTATTTCTCTATTATATGGATATGTCAAAACTGAAATATAATTTATTGCATTTCTTATTATATTGTTATGTATAAGATGTAATGTAATTTAAATAAGCACGTATTCTAGGCAGGACTAATAATTTATTGAAGTTTTGTCGGTACACATAATATTTTTGTCATTACGTTGTGCTGCGGCGACGATATTTTGGCATTCTACCGTGCATCCGGTTTTCTGCTGAAATACTATTACTGAACTACTGACCTCCTGTAAACAAACAAAATATACATGTCGTATTTCCTGAAAAAATTTATCGAAAACCAAAATAAAATTTTTTGCAGAAATAAAAAAAGGTTAATAAAAATAAAACTTGTGTAAAATATAATTATATCTAATTATAAATCTAACGTGATTTCAGATAAATCGGTACCAGTATCACTGGTTTTTTTACACATGAAAGTAGGATAAATATACTTAAAAAAATACACATTTTACTAACTATTATTATTATTTAAATAATAATATTAATATAATAATATATCATATTAATTATTAATATGTTAATGATCATATAATTCTTATATATCTATTAATAGAGTAGTATATGTTAATAACTATATTATAATAACATTATTATTATATTATAATAAAACAAAGAAATGTTAATAGTTGTCAGTTTAATTTGCAACATTTTGGATTGTAAAGCCAATATGAACAACATTAACAAACATAGTTAATTCATTATATTTTCTTAAAA